ACACTGAATGACAATGTAACATTATTTCAACCAAATTTTGACATTTTATTCTCCAAAAACTTATTTGAAACCTTAAAAGTAGACACTGTACTTACATTTAATGTGCTTTCTATGGACATAAAATCACTTTTGTAAATTTCTTTTGATGCGGACATCTTAACGTCTTTGACCCATATATATATTATCTATCCCTCAAATATAGTTTGCACTTGCATTAAGCTTAACATGAGCTTACATTTATATTACCTTTATTATCATTAAAAAAGTAAAGAAGTTGGACTTTTATATAAACCTTTATGAGTAGTAGGACTTTTTTTGTCATTTATGTACAAAAAAAATGTAAACAAAAAATGTCATTAAGATCAAGTGCAAATGTCACTCTTTATCCATATTGTAAGGGCTTGTGGGCAATATTAGCAAAATTATGCACAAATCCACCTAAAAATGATAATAGTACAGATTTTTACATTGGGGCTGCACCAATTTAAATGATGCATACTATATAGTATGCAAGATCTAGAGATGTGTAAAAAAAAAAAAAGAAAAAAAAAATATGTGTGTTTAAGAACTAGAGCAGATGTCACTCCTCATCCATATTGCAAAAAGTTATGGGAAATGCATGTGCAGATGCACATAAAATCCACTGAAAACAGTGCACATGCAAGCATAATTTAGGATGCACCAATTGAAATGATGCATACTAGCTAGTACGTATGGTATGCAGACTGCAGCTGTAGAGTCCAGAGGTGTGTATGGTGTTGTTTACCGTGGCGTGTGAACTGGCAGACAAACGCTCGTCTGGCGGTGCAGGAGTGGGAGCTGGGCAGCCCGCTGCCATCCAGTGACACACACACATTTCCAGGCTGCAGCGTGGCCCGGTCCCTCGTGCCCTCCTCCCCCGTCAGGACCTCCGAACCGTCCACCCAGCGCAGGACACGGGGAGAGTACTGATCGCTCAAACCCAACCACACGCCGCGCTCCCTGCAGCGCACACAAACACAGACAACATCACAAACCAGACCCAGAGCTGCTTCCGGGCCTAAAAGAAACAGCTCATTAAAAAAAGGGGAACAGAACACCTTTCTTTTGTTTCCCACAGATTCAGAATGACGTGAATAAATGATGACAGAATTATCAATCCCGGCCCAACTATTGCTTTCGCTCTCCATTTATTCTCATTACCGGAGCAGCGACTGAGGTTTTAAAGAGATGTCGCCTGTGATTTTTCTTCCCGTTGGAATCAAACGCACACAGGACGTTAATGCGAAGCGAATGCGCTCTCGATGTTTTATGCATAGTGCGTTCAGAGCTTCAATAACCCTAATAAAGCAGCAGCCGAGGGGAATGTGCGCCTTAACGACACGTTATTGAACCCGACGGGACGCTGATCATTTTGAAGTTTCATTTGCCTTCAAACGAGACATGAAAACAGTGACGGAAAGCGGGAACAAATAGACCCCAGTGCAAAAATTACAGAATAAAGTCATGCGTACGACAACAGCTCAATGATATTTTCCAAAAATTCCTGCAAAAATGTATTGAACAATATGATTTATCAGTTGAAATTTGAGTCATTTTGATATTTTAATGCATTTTAGAGCAGGGTTATTATACTAAACTAAAACTTTTAAAAATACATTTGTTTACTGAAATAAAGCTGAAATAAAATAAAAACATAAATATTAGATGAAAACTTAAACTAAACAAAAATAAAAAAACGGAAAAATAAATAAAACTAAAATAAAAAATAAATTAAACCTGCGCAGAAAAAATAAAAATGACAAATGACAAATGCACATAACAAAATGACCAAAAATGAAAGTAAAATTAAAAAACTGAAAACATAAAAATAAAAGCTAATTCAAAATATTAATAAAAAACAAATAATACTAAAATAACACCACATCAGACTTTAGAAACACCAAATCTTTAAAAAAAAAATAAAATTAAGTTCTACAGATAATTTCATAAGATATTCTTAAGAATGTTCAGATTTTTGAAGAATTCTTAAAAAGTTCTCCAATATTTTCTTTGATATATATATATATATATATATATATATATATATATATTCTTTAGAATAAAATGACAGGCCTTACCTTAGGGGATTTAAAACAAATTAGAGTTTATCCTAACTCTAAGAAATTATTTATGATGATTTTTAAGAACATTCTTCTGAAGAATTTGAATTATTTTTCTGTTTTGAACTAAAAAAATGTAAAAACTAAGTATTGTCTTAAGTTAAAAAAAATAAGAAAAAAATGTGGCACTTAAGAGGAACTTAATGTTGTGGGTCGAAAACATTCTTAAGAATTAAGACGTTCAGCTTAACAAACTAATTTTCATATAATTTATGTTTGTATAATCTTACAAAGATTATAAATAAATACCATGTCAAACATTTTCTCTTTTATCATAATTATTTAACTGCATGACATTCACAGATGAAGAGGGAGGGTCTGGTCATCACGGGTCCCAGCGCGACTGTCCCGCCCAGACCACCAGTAGTGACACCACAGCCTTTGACAGGCCTATTACACCACACACACACACACACACACACACACACACGGTTCTAACGGGCTGAATCCAACATCTCACATCTGTGAAAACTACAAATGAAAGAGAAAAAATGAGGAGGG